AGAAACGTTACAGCTTCCACAGAGCAGCTGCACATGGCAGCGTACATGATGTAGCAGGAAGACTACCTGAGTGAGTTGTGCCCGCAGACAGAGCTCAGACAGTGTAAAGAGAGGAACATGGGAACAGAATAGAGTCTGTAGCCCAATACCACCTATGTGAGGCAACAATCATGCACAGCACAGCCCGCACGCCTCACAGGGAAACGTGCAAGTCTGAGGCTGGACTGGTTATGTTAGAGAATGTGCCCATTGAGGGAGGCCGTGAGGGTGAGGAGATGGAAAGAAGGGAACAGTTGGGCAGAGAAAATAAGCCATGCATCTGTGCTAACAAAGCTGTGATCTGAAGAGCATGGCTTTAGCACAAATCTCTACAGCTGAGGTTCAAGTAAACAAAGAAGTGGATAGCCAAGCAAAGTCCAGGCTTTAAAATAAATTCACAAAATCATTTGTTTCTATACAGAGGAACCATGAAACAAATGTAGATAGTAAAATTGGATTTTAATCTAAGGAAATAAAATCTTACTCCAATTATATCTCACACATCATAATGAATTCCTCATAATTTAAAATACTGTCTAATTTTTAAAAGCAAAAATGAGTCCTGGACAGTGATGCTCATTGGGTAGAGTGTCAGCCTGTGCACTGACAGGTCACAGGTTTAATTCCTGGTCAGGTACCTGGGTTGAAGGTCCATTGGCCCCTGTCAGGGTGTGTGTGGGATGCAACCAATCATGTGTCTCTCTCACATTGATGTTTCTCTCTCTCTCTCTCTCTCTCTCTCTCTCTCTCTCTCTCTCTCTCTCTCTCTCCCTCACTCCCTCCCTCCCTCACTTCCACTTGGGAGAGGATTAGTAACAACAACAACAACAAAAAGCAAAGTGGGAAAGTTGTTGTTGTCTGAACTCTGGAAGAAAGTGACTGATAATAATATAGAAGTATAATTTTTATGTGTTAGGAGCTAGATACTGTGTAATAAAGTTTACGTAGGTGATTCTCCTTACTGCTCATGGCCATCAGCAACTCTCCATTTTACAGGTGATGCTCTTGACCAGGGAGGTCAGGACCTTGTCAGAAATAGTGGGAGCAAGATGGTGTGGAATTCAGGCTGTCTGCCTGCGAATGTGTGCCTTAACCCAGGGGTATGACAAAGGTCAAGAAGCAGCAAAACATGGTGTCTTCATAAAATGAAATGGGATGCAACCAAAGACAAAAAGTAGCCACAGATAGGAAATAATGGGCTTTATAAAGATGAATTTTTTAAAAGAGAGAGAGAAAGAACTCATTGACAAGGAACACGAAGTGGTGATTACAGAGGGGGAAAGGAGGAGAGCAGGGGATGGGTGAAAGAGAATATAGGAGGATAAATGAAAATGGGGAAAAAATAAGAAAAACTATTATAGAGAAAATTAATATAAATATGAGGGCTTGCCAAAACCGGTTTGACTCAATGGATAGAGCGTCGGCTTGAGGACTGAAGGGACCCGGGTTCAATTCTGGTCAAGGGCATGTACCTTGGTTGCGGGCATATCTCCAGTGGGGGGTGTGCAAGAGGCAGCTGATCGATGACTCTCTCTCATCGATGTTTCTAGCTCTCTATCTCTCTGCCTTCCTCTCTGTACAAAAACAATAAAATATATTAAAAAAAGATTGAATTTAAATATGAGGGCTTAAAACAACTCTAATTCCAGAACAATGTGTCTAAAGCAAGTGAAAAGGGACTTTATTTCAAAGGGAACCACCTTTAACCAGTTTGGCTCAGTGGAAAGAGCCTCAGTTTGCAGACTGAAGGGTTCCAGGTTCAATTCTGGTCAAGGGCATGTACCTTGGTTGTAGGCATATCCCCATTAGAGGGGGGAGAGGGTGCAGGAGGCAGCTGATCAATATTTCTCTCTCATTAATGTTTCTAACTCTCTATCCCTCTCCTTTCCTCTCAGTAAAAAAAAAAAAAAAAAATCAATAAAATATATTTTAAAATAAATAAATAAATAGGAACCAAAGCAATAAACCAATGTCTTAAGAAGTGTTTCACTTTGAAAGTCATTAAAGAAATGCCAACCAGTATTACATTTTCACCTGACATAGTTGTTAAGTTATATTTTAAAAATGTGCGTAAAACTCCATGTGAATGAGAGTGTAGGGGAGAGAGACACTCATGCAAAGTGGGTGTTGTTGTTTCTCTCATGTAGGCTGTTTGATGGTTCTGGAGTCCTGGTAGGTTTCCTGTTGGCGTCTTGTCAGACTTTGTGACCTTGGGTTCCTGGGATAAGAAGTCGGTGCATGGATGCCTTAGGAAGAGGTAGTGCTCTTTTCCTAGGGGGGCTTGTGTGTATGTGTGTGTGTATGGTTGGGGTGGGGGGTGCGGTCAGTCCTGCTGCAGGTCTTCAGCAGGTGTACCACACCCTCTTCCTGGACACCCCCTCCTGGTGTCCTCAGCTTCTGGTTAACTGCAGGTTCATTGCATGAAGGCACCCCATGAGTCCCTCATCCTCTAGGAATAGGGGTTCAAGGCTCACCACATGTGGTTCCCAAGGGCATCCTTAGCCCTGGGGAACTTGGGGAGATAGGCCAATTACAGTGTAGCACCTCCCTCTCAATCACTTTCACAACCATGATTCGGCTGGCACTGGCTCCCAAAGGGAGATTAGGCCTCATTCTCAGTGTCCAAATCCTCCAAGTTGCCTCTGAAAACGTCATCACTAAACTAGAGGTGAAGGAGATAGCTCCCCACTCATCCTCCTCACTCATAGCATAGCAATGGCTCTTTTCCAATAAGTGTACCCCAAGTCTCCCTTCTTCAAAGTCCTCTCTCAGCACCTTTATGTTCTTCTAATTGATAAGGGGCTCAGTAGGAACTGACATGCAGGATGATTTTTGGGGAGTTCACCTACTTTTGAATTCTGTCTGGGAGTGACAGGATTAATTTGGCATATACATTTGAGCACTAGAGTGTGCTGAGCACACCACAGGAAGGTTCTGAGTGTGCAAAGGTGCCCCTGAGATGGCCTCTGTCTTGAGCATTCAAGGAAGCAGACAGAATGGCAGGGTGGGGTGGAATAAGGTGGCAAAGAAGGCATCTGCCCAATGACTCCAGAATAAGAATCATGCAGTAGGTGCCCATGACATCATGGGTTTCAGGCCCATGCCCAGGGATGGGCTACAGGGCCCACTAGGAATCTGCATTCTTTCTTTTAAAAGATTTTTTTATTGATTTTAGAGAGGAGAAGGAGAGAGAGATAGAAACATCAATGATTAAAGAGAATCATTTATAGGCTGCCTCCTGCACACCCCCAACAGGGGATCGAGTATGCAACCCAGACATGTGCCCTGACTGGGAATTGAACTGTCACCTCCTGGTTCATAGGTTGACACTCAACCACTGAGCCACCGCAGCAAGAGAGAATCTACAATCTAAGTGGCAGGAAATTCCACTTATACTGACTTGAACTCTAAAGGGAATTTACTGACAAGTCTAGAGATTTCAGGTTTCAGGTGAGGCTTGAGCCAACCATTCCATGGTGTTACTGAAAAACAACTCGTCTTCTGGGATTATCTTGACTCTGCTACTCCGCATGCCAATTCTTCCTTAGCTTAGCTCCCACCATTGAAGTAAAGAGCTGAAGAAGCTCCAAACCACCCACCTTATCACCTCATTCTCCTGGAGGAGAGCACTATTTCTTCCCGAGGCATCCATGGGATAGAGGGACTTTCCAACCTAGAAACCTTGAGGCACATTCTGATTTGACCCACTAACAACACTGGGCTAACAACACTGGGGCCAGAGGTATGCAATGTGCTGGCCATCTTAGGTCCCAGTTCCTGCTTTGTTCTGGTGGAGGGATATGGGGGAAGGTGACCAGCAATGTGAAGAGCAAAGAAAGCAGTGGGAATCTCACCCATGCTTCAGAAGTGTGATTATATACAGCATCACTTCACCTCTCCATTCTACAGGCAGGTAGGTAACTGCTTTGCTTAAGTTTGTACCAGGAGTTCGTGGATAGAGATCCATGTCTGAAGAACCTGCCACTCTACTGTTCCCTAATGGTTACTCGATGGCCCAGTCACCTTTCAGGGACACAAAGGTCAGCAGACCATGGCACAACTGCTCTAAGCTTGAAAACAGGAGGGCATGTGGAGATGGGGTTGGTGGTGCTCATAGGAAGGGTGGTCCAGGCTAGATAACAGGCCTTGAAAGTCAGGTTAAGTTGCTCTTTATCTCATAGAACACGGAATGGTTAGCAGGTTTTCTTTCTTGTGTGTATGCATTTTCTCTCTTTTTAAAAATTTCTTTATTGATTAAGGTATCATATTTGTCCTCATTCCCCCATTCCCATCCCAAGCCCCTCCCCACCCAAGCCTCCACCCCCCTGTTGTCTATGACCATTAGGCTTATATGCATGCATGGTTGATCTCTCCCCCTTCCCCCAACCCTCCTCTACCTTCCCTCTGAGGATTGACAGTTTGATCAATGCTTCCCTGTCTCTGGATCTGTTTTTATTTATCAGTTTATGTTGTTCATTATTTCCCCTAGATGAGTGAAATCAGAACTGTTAGCCCAGAAAGAAATGGTTAGCAGGTTTTCAACAAGGAAGTGAAGGAATCAGTTCCAGGTTTTGGAGAGAACATCAGGGCTCTGGGGGTTGGGGAGGCGGGTGGATAAGAGAAGGTGGGTGCTAAAGGTGCCAAGTAGGAAGATGATGGTGGCACCTGGGTGTATATAGCCAGCTCTCTTATGACCAGTGTCTCCAGTTTGCCTGAACTTGTTATGGAGGAAGAGCCTTTGCCCAACTGGACTCAACGTTGAGCTCTGTGGGCACATTCACATTTAGTCCGACATTTCACATGCTATCATACTTGAAGCGATGCATGTCCTCTGTTCCAGATTGGGAGGCATCCTGTGTCTGTTTCATGTCCTATGTCCTGGTCCTGCATCCTATATCCTGCGAACTGTTGTCAGTCTCCTCTATACACTGCTCACTAGCCTGATAACTGGATGAGAATTTTTTCCCAAACAGTCATGTGGGGTCTAGTGTGTCCTTCCCTGGAACAATGGAGAACTTTGGTCAAATTCAGGACATTCAATCCTTCTCCTGAATTCCTGACAAAATCCTCCAGGTTGGCATTCAAACCTTTTAGATTGGCTGAGCCCTTCCCCACCAGCCTCACAGGCAAGTCTCTTGCTCTGTGTTGAAGGTCTCCCTCACTTATGTCAATGGGAGGAAGATGTTTTCAAGGTTCTGGTACAAGACAATGCACACAGAGTTTCTGAGTGACTTTAGAGCCACCTGGCCCTTCGTGGTCACAGTTGATCTTTGGAGAGAAAAGGAGTGTTGTGTTAAATGGGTATGAAGAGGGATTCTTCCCTCTTCCATTGAGGCTGCTTCTAGAAGACCCTCTGCAGCCTGAGAGGAGGCCCTGTCTGGGAGCTCTGGTCTGGCCCCAGTTGGCTTTGCCTGAGTGAGCAGTCCCTCCTTCCCTGCAACCACAGGGAAGTGATGGTGAGTGCTGAACTCCAACCCTCTTGCTGGAGAGTGAGGCACAGGCGTTCCACCACCCACACCTCTGCTGAGCTTTTGGGTAGGACCTGATAGTGTGGCTGTGACTAGGATGGCTAGTAGCCATCCTCAAGCAGCAAAGTTGAAGGAGGGTTGTCTTTCTGCAAGGACTACCCTCACCCTCTCCTCAGCTTGCCCACCAGCCCAGTCCCCAGGGCTGAGAGTCTCCCTTTTCTCCCCTCATCCAGCTGGGTTTCTCCTCTCCCTCCTTCCCTACCCAGCTGGACTCCTCCTCTTTTTCTTCCCCTGGACCTCACAGCCCAGTAAGAGGGGCTTATAGTCTCCGACGTGGGGCCGAGACTTCTGGACCTGACCTGCATGCTGAGTGTAAAGGGCCTCAGTGTGGAGGAACACCACGGACACTGTGTGAATGGGCCTTTTATAGCCACAGATGCTCCCTCCTCAGTGAAGCCCTCCCAGAGCTCCAACCATCCTTTATAGCAGCCAGAAGCTTCTTTCAGATTCCAAAGAGCTGGGATAAAATACCAAAGTGGGACTGTGCTTGCTCTGGGAGCATGCCTATTGGTTGTGGGCCTGTGCCTGCCATTCCCAGGTTCTCCAGGCCAACCCAGTTGCTCTTCTCCCACCCTGGGCTGGATTAGGCTTACCTGGCCCATCTCCGTGGCCTCTCCACTGATTTTTCATGTCAGCTCCTGGCACTGTGTACTGCCCTATTCATATGGGAGCCAAAATGACATTTTAAAAATGTGAATCAGATTAGTTCACCGTCCTGCTGAAGACCCTCCAATGGTTTTGCAGGATCCCTCAGAATAAACCCCAAACAATTCACCATGTCCTACAGTGCCCTCTCCTGCTGCTCAATTCTCACCATTTTTTTTTTAAGAAAAATCCTCACCCGTGGATTCCCCACCCCCACCCCATTGATATTCAGAATAGGAAGGGGGAAGGTATGGAGGGGAGAGAGAGAGAAAGAGAGGGAGAGAAACTTTGATGTAAGAGAGAAGCATCCCTCCTGAAGCCAGGGATGAGCCTGCAACCCAGGTAAATGTCCTTGACCCACGACCCTTCAGTGCATGGGCTTGACACTCTAACCACTTAGCCATGCCTGCCAGGGCTCCATCCTCCCCTTCTGACTCACTCCCTACACTCGCTTGTATGCAAACAGCCTTATCAGGAGGCCCCCTTTCAATATGCCTTTCAGTCATTCACTGAACAAATGATTAGGAGTCTTCTCTAGGTCCCAGATACTGTGCACACAGCAGTGAAAAGATGCAAGTCTGGCCTGCAGAAAATATACATTCTGGTGGTGCAGATGGACAACAGGCAAACATACAAATAAGTACACTGTCAGGTGGTGCCTGGGCTAAGAAGACATAGGCAGAGGGGAGTTGGTTCTGCACTTACAGTGAGACAGAAAGTGGTAATTTTTGTGTGGGATGGCCAGGCAAGGACTCACTTAAAAGGTCACAATTGAATTAATAACTGGAAAAGGGAGGAAGTGATCATCTGGGTTTCTAATCGGAGAAGGTTTCAGGCAGAGAAGATGCGATGGGCAAGGCCTATTCAAGAAAGAGCAGAAAAACCAGAGGAGCAGCAGTGTGGACTAGGAGAATGGCAGGGGTTGGAGAGGCTCCAAAGGCAGCTGCTGGTTAGGTAGGGTTGGACACTGTTGGAAAAACTTTGGCTTTTACTCAGAGTGAGAAGGCGGGTCTTGAGCAGACGACTGAGGATATCAGGCCTACAGTTTAGCAGTTTTATTCTGGCTGCTGGGCTGCACTAAGGCAATGTGGGTTGGGGGGGGGGGGGGGCCTGGTATTGCTTCAACCCAGCAAGCGGTAGTGGTAACTACCTGCATCAGTGTAGAGCAGTGCACATGGGAGAGATGATCAGGGTCTAGATCTTATTTTCAAGGTGGGGCTAACAAGCTTTGCTTTGTGGAATGGATGTGGGTGTGAGAGAGAGGGAGAGGGGATGACTTCAGAGCTACTCACTGCCACGTGGTGTCACAGCGGAGGGTCTGGGTCATGAGGACATCGTGTGTGGAGGAAAAGCCCTGTGAAGAGGTGGCTGCCTTCTAAAGAATGCACATAGGTTGACTCCCCAGCTAATTCCAGCTTGGATAGCAAGCTGGCAACCTGCGGGGCAGGGGGACAGAACAGTGATAAGGCCCTGGGCTGGGATCAGAACCTACAGGAAGGGGCCACTGTGACTCTTAGCTGTCCTCCGGGCAACTGGCCATGGGCTGCTCCTGAGGTGAAGTGGCATGAGGAAGGCAAGGCTCTGGCACCCTAATCCAGGACAGAGTCCTGGAGCTGCTGCCTGGCCCTGCCACACTCCATTTCCCAGGATGCCTCCCTCTCCCTGCAGCTGAGGGCCCTGCCCATTACCCCTGATTCAGATCAAAGCGGAACATGACTCTCTCAGAGGGAATCTGCCCATTAGAAGCTGCCATGCCTCCATCCTGGTAATCTGCTCAACTTGCCATGACTGTCCTCTGTGGTGATTTGAAGAGGATTCCAACAGCCTCTATGACTTCTGCTCTGCTAATGATGCTGCCTGCTTTGAGAGTGATTGGTCAGTTGAATGAGATGACGGCATTTCTGAACTGGGCAAAGAATCCCCTGATGGACTTGCTGCAGTCCTGGGCCTGCATTGTCTCCTTCCTCCTTACCTCATGCTGACCTCCAGCCATCTTCCTGACTGGGCTTCTTCCTCTACTTCCCAACCCTCTGCCTCTGCCCTCTCTCTTTGGGGTTGGTCAGGGCTTGCTGTGAGGAAGGGCCCTCCCCTGGTCATGAGGCTGATGATCTGATTGGGCACAGCTCTGGCAACCGCTCTCCCCTCCCCCAACCACACTCCTGCCATGTTTCTGGCTCTCATTTTCTGGGGCTGAGACTCAGATGCTGTCCCTACTCAGGCCTGTGGCCCCTCCTTCTGGGACCATCTGTCAGGTGTCCCCCTGGGCTCCAAAGGAGCCTGCCTGGTGCGGGATGTGGAAACCACCCAGGGCTTCAGCCCATGAGTCAGTTCATAAAAGGTGCTCTCCTAGAGAAAGAAGCCACTGTACCTGGTGGATGAGTTCACCAATGTGGCCCCTGGAGGGCCCCCAGAGTCTGCTTGAAGTGGGAAAGGGGCTTAGGTTATAGGGCTTCATCTTTGGGGACCAAAAGAGATATAGGTTTTGAGTTAAGATTCTTAGTTGCAAGTGTCAGAAGGCAGATCAAACAAGTTCAAAGGCTTTTAGAACTAAACTGGTCTTTGGTCCTAGGATCAGCATGTGGTACCCTTCCCTCTCTGCCCTTGGGGGCTCTCCCAGCTCAACTTCTTCCCCTGTAAGCTCCTGACACCTGCAGTTATGTTTTACCACATCTCCACCAGGGAGAAATAGCTTTGGGCTTGCATCCAGTTAAAAAGCACTGGGGAAGGATTCTGATTGGTCCATGCCTGCAGCGAGGGGTGTGGTGCTGTGTTTGACTAACATCTCCCCTCCCAACCAGAGCAGAGCAGTGTCCCAGAAGGCAAGAAGTGGGCTGTGCTGTCCCTAACGCATGTGTCCAAATTTCTCGGCTTGTGTCTGGGACCACCCTCACAGCTTCCACAGATCCTATAACTGAAGGACACAAAAGAATCCCAGACTCCTGATGTCAGTTTAACCTCCACTGAGAATGATTGGGTACCACAGCAGGCAGGCTCTGGGCCAGGTGATTTAAATTAGATAGTTGTCATTCTCATGATAACTCTACACAGGCTTGAATCTTCCCATATGTATGACTATTGCCTTTTTTCATATGAAACAAACAAACAGACAAACAACAACAACAACAACAACAAAAAAACTGAGGCTCCAAGACCTGAAGTGACCCTAAGAGGCCAGGTAACCAGCCTCACCAGAGTTACACCTAAGTCAGGGTCCACCAGGCTCTTTCCCCACAGATGCTGCTGGCCTCAGGAGAGGCCATATTGAAAAGATTCTTGGAATTCAAACACTAAATTATAGTAAAAGAATAGGAAAACAAATGAGCTTAATGAGAATAGTTAACAGCTTCCAAAAGGCTGAGATAAAACAGGAAAAGAACAATTAGGATTTTTAAAGTTAAAAGTACAAAAGTAAACAGCGTTAGCTAGTGGAACAAAAAAGACAGAAAAAAATTGTATAACGGTAATTAAAAATATATGACTCAGGGTGGGCAGGATGGCAGGATTTGGATGAACTCAGGATGATCAAGGAGCTCTGGCTGCACACCTCCTCTCGGAGGGGCTGGTAGCCCCACCTGGCAGAGTGCCAAAGGAAGGCCTCACTGCTGGTCAGGCTCCTGGTGTTCTGGAATAGGGTTGCCGACCACACAAGCTGATGCCTCGCAGTAGCTGTGATCAGACAGGGCAGGGACTACCCGGAATCTCCAGTGGGTCTGGGTGATCTCTCAGGTCTGTAGCTGATCTCTAGGCAGGAGGATAATAGCTTTCTGATTCAAGTAGCTGCATATTCATAAAGCATCCT